GGTGCTGCTGGTGGAAGATGGAAAGATGGAAGCTGTTGCCGTCATCTTGCTTCCTGTCTCTTGGGCCTGGCTGTGCACACAGAATGAATTAACAAGATTGACAGAAGTTCATTGTGCCTAAAATGGCTTTTCAGTCAATTGTGGTGCTTAAAAGGCTAGTTTTGCTTTTAATTCCGTGTAATTAGTGGGTTCTTCATGTCTTGGAATTTAGTAATAGTGCATAAGTCCTAACTTTTGTCCGTTTGATTGGTTGGAGGTTTTTTATTTATATCCTTTGTACAATTTTTAATAATTATAAAATATCTGGAAATATTGGTCACATTTTTATGATTACATATTCTGGAGATAAATTCACAGGTGGAATGATTCAGTGTCTTGCTGTTACTATAATTTCAAAATTATTGGTTTGGATGTTTATAATTTTGACCAGTTTTAGTTTGAATTAATTTCTAATTGCAGGAAGAGACACTTTTCACAAAGTGCAACAGTTTGGCTTTTTCTGAGAGTTCTGCTACATTTAGCATAGTTGTATTGAGTTGTATTGTCTTTGAGGCACCAAATGATGGAAATGCATGGAAAACCGTAGAGGTGAATAGAGGTTGCCAATGGGCACAAATACTGTAGGTGAACTGAAGAATCAGAATTTACATTAAAAGAAAATTATTTAAATAGAATTTAGTTTGTACTGCTAAATACAAAATATTGTATGATACTTTTCTTCTTCAATGCAAAAATATTTACACAATGCTGCACAAGTTATGTCTGAAGAATTTATGGAGGTTTTTGTGGTTTATCCCCTGAAATACATCAATGAATTTGGAAGTATATTATTATGTTTGAGCTCATTTAACTTTAGCAGAAATAAATATTAGCAATCTTTGACCTTAAGATCCTTAATGATTTTTTTTTTTATTATTTTTCCTTACCCCTCCAGGTTTGCAGCTAAGACTGTGCACAGTGGGTCACTGATGCTAGTCACAGTGGAACTGAAGGAGAGCTCTACAGCACAGCTCGTCATAAACACCGAGAAAACTGTGATTGGTTCTGTTCTGCTGCGGGAGCTGAAGCTTGTCCTGTCCCAGGGGTAACCTGCTTACATCTGGACTTCAGAATCTGGCACAGAACAAAAGTGCCTGGCATCCACTACTGCTGCCTTTCATTTATAATAATAGCCCTTCCATCTGGCAGTGGGGGAAGAATACACTCTTGACATTCTTGTCTTCTGCTTTAGAATGCTAGTGTGTATCTATCATGTATGCAAGTCCTTTCTTTTTTTTTTGCTTGCTAACCAAAGAACATGTATTTTACTGTCTGTTATCTGTGCTTTTAAAGGTATTTCCCATTTGTTCTACTCTAGTTCTTCCCTCTCTGTTCCCTTCCCCCACTACCTTTCTTCCCCATCAGTGCCCCCCACTCCCCCCAAAGTGCACAAATATTAGATAATAAAGTTCAAGGGAAATCACACGGCTTGAAAACTGAGTTCAAATGGCAGGTAGGTTCCAGCAACAAGTTTGTGGTTCAGAGAAGTTTTGTTACATAAATGTAAAAATTCAGTAAGAACAGTAAAATGGTGTTTTCTTTCTAGAAATGCTTGTAAACCTGAACTCCTCTATTAAGAACACTGTTCCTGCTTACTGTCTGTTTCTCAAATATTTTGTTAAGATGCCAATAAAGTAGTGCTATGAGCAGAGGCTCCCTTGTCTTGTTTTGGTAGAGAACTGATAACAGAGATTGCCAGTATTATGTATACCAGGTTAACTAAAGTAGATGCAAATAAGAGTGGACACTACATACACATCAGCAAACAACTCTTATGGAGGCAGCCAGTTTTTGTGCTCCTATGGTAGTTTTCTGCATGCAGATAGTATTAAACTAAATACTGATTATTAGACCATTGTGGCAAATACTGTCATCTAGTTTAATAAATAGTTCAGATCTTTGCTTCAAATTTGTTTTTTGAACTAGATTAAAACATCTCCCACCTACAGGACTTGAGGCAAAGAGAAATTCATAGCCCTATCAACTGAAATAGGCCTGATAAGACAAACAGCTGTGCAACCTTTGTTTTATCCAGTTTTCTGCTTGTAGCTTGAGTGTCACTGATTTTGACCTTCCCTTCGCATTCTGGTTACATGGTTCAGACTGAAGATGCTGATCTTTTTAATTTCTTATTAGTTCTCCTCACTTCCAAAATGGCTTTTCCCAGTAACTCATGGCTCTGCTACAGAGAAGATATTTGGATAGGTGTAACCTTGCTCTGTCACCAGGACCCTTCCATGGTTCTTTGATGCTAAGTGGTGCTGTTCTAGTTTAGGATGGTACAAAATGGTGCTTCATCAGAAATGTTGCATTACTGCACACTCCTTCTAAATTCTTCCAAAATTTTCCACTAAAATTCAGTAGAACTATAAGGAGGCTCAAATGTGTAGCAGAACTTATTGGCAAATTCTGAAGAGGGGTTGGATATTTAAGTTGCACTTCTGTGAGAAATGTAGTTCTACAGTGTGCCAGCGCCTAATATATACTAGTACTTCTCAGAAAAAGAAAGAAGAATCTTATGCCCTCAACAGAAGTGTACATATTCTTAATCAATGTTTACATTATTTTCTGAAGTCCTAATCCTGCAATAAGCTTTTTATTGAATTACTTTTCAAGTTGATATAAAAGTTATTCACACAGATGAAAAATGAATCACTGTAGAAATTACTGTCATCTCAGAGAGGATGCAGATTGGTCTAGATGGTATTTGATGTTAAGACCCAGTGAGAAGGTCATGAGGGAAAAGGTGCAGAAACATGCTTCCTGAGAAAAGGCTGGACTGCGAAAACTTCAGCCTTGTTTGTAAAGGAGAAAACAAATAAGAATTGCTTCTCATACCACAGTACAAATCAAAGAAAAGTGCATTCATGCTATGTAAATCGCACACATTGCTGAGTAACTTCTACCTCCCTGGAGTACTTAACACAGTTTAGCATTGAAGCCCAGAAACGTGCATAGTAAGGATAGCTGGGTAGTTTCTGGTATTAATTTACATTTTTCAACACTCTGTGACTTTGTCTAGTGGTTTAATAACTCTTGGTATGGGTCTTTGGCTGATTATAGAATCATAGAACGGTTTGGCTTGGGAGGGGACCTTGAAGATTACTAGTTCCAACACCCATGCTACGGACAGGGACAGATTTCACTAGACCAGGTTGCTCAGAGCCCCATCCAACCTGGCTTTGAACACTCCCAGGGGATGGAACACTCACAACTTCCTGGGCAACCGGTTCCAGTGCCTCATCACCCTCACACTATAGAATTTTTTACTAATATCTAGTCTAAATCTACTCTCTTTCAATTGAAACCCATTCCCCCTTGTCTTGTCACTGCATGCCCTTGTAAATAGTCTTACCCCATCTTCCTTCACATACTGGAAGGCTGCAATTAGGTCACCCCTAAGCCTTCTCTTTTCCAGGCTGAACAATCCCAGTTCTCTCAGCCTTTCCTCATAGGAGAGGTGCTCCAGCCCTCTGATCAACTTGGTGGCCTTCCTTTGGACTCACTTCAACAGGTCAGTGTCCTTCCTGTTCTGGGGACCCCAGAGCTGGATGCAGTGCTCTGGGGTCTCACCAGAGCAGAGTAGAGGGGTGGAATCCTCTCCCTTGACCTGCTGCCCACACTGCTTTTGATGCAGCCCAGGATACAATTGGCTTTCTGGGCTGTGAGTGCACATTGCTGGGTCATGTTCAGCCTCTCATCCACCAGCACCCCCGAGTCCTTCTCGGTGGGGCTGCTCTCCACCTGTTCATCCCCCAGCTTGGATTGATACCAGGACTGCTCTGATCCAGGTGCAGCTCCTTGCACTTGGTCTCACTAAACCTCCTAAAATTCCCGTGATCCCTCCCCTAGAGCTTGTCCAGGTCCCAGTGGATGGCATCCTGTCCTTCAGGTGTGTCAGCTGCACCACTCAGCTTGGTGCATCCTCAAATTTGCTGAGGGTGCATTTGATCCCTCTGTGTCATTCATGAAGATATTAAATAACACTGGTCCCCTTGAGGGACACCACTTGTCACTGATGCCCATTGGGACTCTGAGCCATTGGCCACTACCCTCTGGATGTGACCATTCAACCACTTTCTTATCCATCTAACAGTCCACTCGTCAAATCCATCTCCAATTTAGAGAGAAGGATGTTGTGGGGGACTGTGTCAAAGGTTTTACAGAAGTCCAGACAAATGACATCTTCCCTTGTCCTCTGATGTTGTCACTCTGTCCTAGAAGGCCTAGAAGGCCACCAGGTTGGTCAGGCAGGACTTGCCCTTGGTGAAGCTGTGCTGGCTGTCTCATATCACCTCTCTGTCCTTCATGTGCCCTAGCACAGGTTCCAGGAAGATCTGTTGCATGATCTTCCCAGGCACAGAGGTGAGGCTGACAGGGTGGTAGTTTCAGGGTCCTCCTTTCTACCCTTTTTAAAGATGGGTATGATGTTTCCCTTTTTCCAGTCACCTGGGACTTCCCCCTGACTGCCATGACATTTCAAATATCATGGAGAGTGGCTTGGCAACTACATCAGCCACTTCCTTCAGGACTCTGAGGTGTATTTCATCAGGTCCCATAGACCTGTGCACATTCCAGTTCCTCAGGTGGTCATGAACCTGATCCTGGTTTATGGTGGAAGGGACTTTTCTCTCCCAGTCCTCATCCTGTCATCCATCCACTGCAGCGATGTGGGAAGAAAGTTCACCATTGCAGACTGAGGTAAAAAAGTTTTCAGTACCTCAGTCTGTTCATTGTTACCTGTTCACCCACATTGTTTTTCAGAGGGGATATACCTTCTTTGACCTTCTTTTTCTGATTAACATACCTGTAAGAAACCCTTCCTGTTACTCTTTGCATCCCTTTCCAGGCATTTCCACTTTTGCCTTGGCCTTCCTCACTGCCTTCCTGCACAATTCTACTTCATCTCTATTCTCTTCCAAGGTTACTTGGCCTAATTTCCACTGCCTATTCATTTGCTTCTTGCCCTTTAGTTTGACCAGCAGGTCCCTACTCAGCCATGCAGATGTCCTGCCTGCCTTGCCCACTTCCTTGCTCCTGGGGATTATTAGCTCTTGTGCTTTATGGAAGACTTGTTAAAGACCTGCCAGCTCTGTCCCACTCCTTTCTTCCTGAGGGCTGTCTTTCAGGGGATCCCACTGACTATCTCCCTGAAGAGCTGGAAGTCTGCCTTCCTAAAGTTCAAGAGCCTGACTTTACTCCTTACCTGACCTATATTCCCCAAGTCTGCAAATTCCACCAATGCATGATCTCTGCAACCCAGACTACCTCCAGTCCTGACATCCCCAATTAGTTCACTTACACTGGTGACCATCAAGTCTAGTATCTCATTCCCTGGTAGGGCTATCTATCATCTGATTCAGGAAGTTATCCTCCATGCATTCCAGGAGTCTCCTGGATTGCCTGCATCAGAAGTACACCGTGCCACTTTCACAGCAGGTATTAGGGTGATTGAAGTCTCCCAGCAGGACAGGAGCCTGTGAACACGATCCCTTCTGTAGCTGGAACAGGAAGGCTTCATCTGCAGGCTCCCCTTGATCAGTCAGCCTGTTGCCTCAGTTTTCGACCGCCACAGGCTTTCGACCTGCTCATGGCTGTTCTTCAGAGACAGCTCTTCACACTTAATGTGTCTTGATGTTAAGGGCAACCCATTCGCCTCTCCTTCCTCTCCTGTGTGTTCTGAATAGTCCATAGCCATTGATAGCTGTGTTCTAATCATAGGATTTGTCCCAGCAAGTTTCAATAATGGCAAGAAGGTGATAACTTTGCAGCAGCACGGTGGCTTCCAACTGCTCCTGTTTGTTGCCCATGCTGTGTGCATTGGTGTAAAGGCACCTCAGCTGTGTTCTTGGCCATGTCACCTTCCTATAGAACAACCCTCAGTACCTTGGAGACATTTCCCTGGTGTCTCTGTGTTGGCTTCTGTTATCTCAGAAGTCCCTGGCTCAACTTTGTGAGACTGCAGGCATGTTCCAGCATGTCTAATGCCTCTTGAGTCACCTGCAGAGGGGCCTCACTAGCACCCTGTCCCTCAAACCTTTTCATACCATCCCACAGCTTGCCAGAGATAAGCCTGATATCACTCCCCTACCCCCTCACATCTGGTTTAATCAAGAAACTGGGTTCCCTAGAAGGCATGTGAGAGGATTCACCACAACCATAAACACCTTCAATGAGGTTAGTCCTTTGAGGACTAACCAATGAGGAGCAGTCAAGGAACGTCTTTTACTGCACTGGTTGGTATGACCTATTCCCCAGGAGGAAGCAATGGCACTTTGGACCCCATCCCCTGAGTCCTTTTGTTTAAAGCTTGTCTATCCAAACTGGTCAGCCTGCTGCCAAAGATTCTATTGCCCTGTTTAGACAGGTGGATCCCATTCCTCCCAAACAGGCTACAATCACTAAAGCACAACACATTGTCATAAAAGGCAAAACCTTCTCGACAGCACCAGCCTTGAAGCCAGATGCTGATCAGCACTATGCATCTGCTTCTGGCTGTTCTCATTTCTCTAACTGATAGGAGAGATGAGAAGATGACTTGGGCACTGATGTTTTTCACCTACCTTGCCTGGGCTTTATAGTCTCCCTTGATCCTGCCCATTTTTTGTCTTGTGGTATCATTGTACCCTCATGAAAAAGTACTATTCCA